TTAACTTGTTTTCTGCTAGGTGTTCAAAGGGTTTTTTTTCATTTAAATCCAATAATTTTACTAGATTATGTCTTGATGCTGATCATTCTCTATTGCTATTCCTAGTTACATGGTATACTTATTTAATAAATAGTTTGAAATCTTCTAGGTTTTTTATTTGATTTTTTCATATCTTTGTTTTTTGTTGTTCAATCCCTACTACTGAAGAAAAAAGAAAAAGAGAAAAAAGCCAAACAAAAATTAGTTGGGGAGGAGGACTTCCCTGGGGGAGTAAGTGAGGTGTGTGGGAGACAGATGTGTCCACAGAGGGGACAGTAGCCTGGCACAGAGTTCCTGGGGTTCCTGTGAAGGTGGTGACAGATCTGAGGAGGTGAGCAGCTGCACTGTACTGCAGACAGAGGCTGTATTGCTGTGTAAAAAGTGCCTGCCTTTGGAAGAAGAGATGAAGAGTCAGTTCAGGATGTGTAGTGACAACCTTTAGTTTCTTCTCCAGTGGTGAATCTTCTCTGGCTAAGGAGATTTCGGGGTGAGGAACTTCGAAGAGTGCATGCCTTCTCAAGGAACTCCCTGGGCAAGCCGCAGAGAAAGCCCACCCTACACTTCTAGAGAGGAAGAGGACGCAGAGATGGAAGGGCGGGGGTGTTTGGGTGGGTAGAGAAACTGCAAGGCTGCTTCACAAGTCCAGAGGAAGGAGCAGGTGAAGCTACTTCCTTTGAGATTATCATTTGCTGAGCCCAGATAGAGCTGATGTACTTAAATAACTCCAACTTCATGTTGTGAACGTGTGTGAAATGTCTCCCAGGAAACATCGCTTAAACATTCATTGGCCGGAGCTTTCACTGGAGACTGGCTACCGTGGCACCCTCTGCATAGCACATAGCAAAGCTTCAGACTCGTGAAAGGAAAGCAGGTGTTCTGTTATCGACCTTGTCTTCTGCACGGTGGGGGTACTGTGAGTCATTGCTGTCCCGATAGGGGAACACCTCCCAAACCCAGGTTCCCAGAGGCCAGCTTTTCTACACATGCACATACAGATGAGGGTGTTAAAGAAGAGCCCCCAACCCCAGTGCCACCATTCTAACCACTAGCTTCCCTAAATCCTTCAATTAAAATTTTTGTTTCAGGGCTGGGGATTTAGCTCAGCAGCATAAGTGCCTGCCTGGCAAGCACGGAGTCGTGAGTTCGATCCCCGCTGACAAAAAAATTTTTTTTTGTTTTCAGCAGAAGTAAGTTCAGTTTTCCATTTTGAAGATGTCATTGCTACAGTAGTATGAAGGACACATTATAAGTCACTGAGAGTAGAAATCAGGTAACTGTGCAGCAGCTTAGATGATAGGTTAGTGCTTTTGAAATAAGACTGGGAATCAAGAAGAGAAAAGGATGGATTCAAGCTATGTGTACATTCATGTATGTGTATGTATCGTGGTACTATAAAGCTACTGTATTAGAAAATAACATTTTCCTATTTGTGCAAAGGAAAGTTTTTCTATGTTTAGGAACAAAATCATAAGTCATTGGGTACAAGTGTTGTCATCAGACAGGGTTCAGGGAAGGCAGGAAGTTGAGTTTGACCCGGGCCTGTTTTTAATTGTGCTCCAAAGCATTTAAGGGTACCTCGTGAGGGACAGGCCGCCGTGTTAGGCAGAGTTGGAATCAAAGGAAATGGGAGGGGAACTGAGGTGACAGCTGAGGTGCATCCAGCTCTGATGGCCCAGGAACGACCAAGTGTGGTTGTGGGGAGCCAGGGTCTGGCTGGTCACTGTCCTAAGCTCTGGGTTTGTGCAGCGTTCCGGAGGGAGGAGTCCTTATTACGGTATTCTCTCACTGTTTCCATTTCGTAAGAGCAAGGCATAGAAATTTAAAACCTCTGACGACAAGCTAGAGAAAAGAGCAACAAAACTCTAAGGAAATTGGGAAGCTGTTTACAACCTGAGAGAGCATTTTATGTCCTTGTTATATTAACAATTACAAATTAGCATTTAAAACTCTTAAGAGTTCAATAGAAAGTTGGTAGTTAATTAATGAGCAATTCATAAAAGAAGGTAAATGGTGATTCGATATTTTTGAGTCAAAAACCTATAAGCATGAGCAACAATGAAATGCAAATTCTTTCATAAATAGGCAATATTTAAAAATGATAATCAGTGTTATTGGAAATTAGGAGTAACCTAAATGTCCAACACTATATTATTTATGTAAATTGATGTATTCATGCATTTATATGTTGACTAATTAAAATCATTTACTAGAAAATGATATGATGGTTTTAATAGTAACATAAGATCTGGTTTTCTGTTGATATATTTTACTGAGCATACACAGCCACACAGGAAAATACTTTAAAAGTGTCCTTCCTAAGATGTTAAATAGGTGGTAAGAGTATGAGTGAGTTTTGCTTTCTTTGTGATTGAAAAACGAAAGCGTCAGGTATCTTTGACAAAGGTTAGCTTGGGCTGCTTGCTTACTTTTGTAAATAAAGTTTTGTTGGAACACAGCCATGCTTATTTATACATTTTCTCTACCCACTTTTGTCAGTACAACAGCAAACAAAAATATTTTTACTTGGTCCTTTAAGAATGTTGATTAGCCATGTTGGTGATAGCTATGTGGTGATCCACACCTGTAATCCCAGCACTTGGGAGGCTGAGACAGGAGGATGTCTATGAATTTGAGGCCTACCTGGGCTACATGGTGAGTTCAAGACTAGCCTGAACTACATAGGGAGACTCTGTCTTAAAAAATTGAAAAAAATGTTTGTCATAGCTCTACCCATAGTAAGTGATCTATTTTTATGTTTATAAATGAACTTCATAAGCACATGTATTCTTACATAGTCATAATGTGTTATAAGAAAGCATTATTGTTTATAGAGCTAGGATTTTATTTTTCACAAGCTTCATGGTAGTTCCCTACTCAAAAAAGTAAGTTATCTATAATAAGAGAAATGCTTAATAAGTATTGCTTATACTGCAATGAATTTCTATTTTTTAAATAATGTACGGGAGCAATGATTATCCAGGATCAATTTTAGCTAATACCTTGTTACTCTAAAGAAATGGTGATTTAATAGATGTCTCGGAGAGTTGAGAAAAATTTTTCTGTTGATAGTACCAAAGGATTAAAGGGCAGATATTTAGGGAAGTTATATCTTTTAGAGAGTGTATGTAAAAGATGTCTGGAGGATGGAACCTGAGCTGAAGTGGACGAGAAAGATGTGGACCTGTGGGGCGTGGTGGCAGCTGCTGTCTCCTGGACCTGGGCAGAAGTGCTGTTTAATGTCCAGGATGGTCCTGACATGGAGGCCAGCGTGGCTTATATCTTGTAAAGGAGAACACTGAGGTTGGGCGAGCTTTAAGTGCTTTCCTACATTGTAAAGAGTTTGGTTGAGCCTCCACTTGCAGCCAGGTCTGTCTGAGAGGAGCACTTGGGATTTTTTTAGCCTTTCTTATTTTTTCTCAACGTATTGCAGTGTAGGTCCCAGGAACTTGAAGCATTATCTGAAATCCAGGTTTTGACCTATCCAAAAAACACACATTTTTAACTATTTATAAAGTTAATTAAATAAAGTAGTACATTCTCTGTTCTAGAGAACAGTTTCTCAAGGATGTTTTGGGAATGTTCCTGCTGTGACTAATATTAATGTGTACTTTGTGAACTTTGAGAATCTACCAAATCTGTGATCTTACGGTGTTGGTTTTGTTTCCATTTTGCTTGAGCATTTCATCCAGTTTAGATGATGTAAAAAACTGTAGCTGTGAGCTCTTAAAGTGCTTCGGAAATCCTTGAAAAGTCACTATTTTTCTGGACTGGCATATGCCTCTACAAACATTAATTATAATTCACTAAGAATCTCTGTGTCATGTAGTCAAGATTCATGTAGCTTATTTTTCCTTGAAGGTAAATCAGAAAAAAGATTTGTCTCTGCAAGCAGATACATTTTTTTCTCAGCAAAAAAGGAACTATATAAATCAACATTTTCTTTTTGTACTTTAGCATATGGAATAGAGAAACCAAATGTAATGAACGAGCATAGTGATTATCTTACCTTAGGCATATGGTAACAAAAACTTTTCTTAACTAGATTTGTATTATATTATTCCTAAACATTTTTTCCCATTGGAGGCAAATGGATTTTAAAACATGCATTTATTTAATTTAAAATTAAGTAGATTATGCATTAACTTAAATGTAAAATACCTAATTCTCAGAATAGTAAATTGTAATGTCAACACAAGTTTGAGTCCTACATGAGTGAAATTCAGCCAGTTTTTCTCTGAGATCTCTTTATTCTGGTCCAGCTGAAGCTGCAAAGGGAGAGCGTCTTCAGGGTCCCAGGAAGGCCAGCTGTGCCTTGAGGCTGCTGCCTCCCAGAGTGGGCAGGGTGCTGTGCCCGTCTGGGTGCCTCAGTTCTTCCTGTGTCATTTACTGTTGTAGGACGCTTCAGGTGTTGAACTGCCACCAACTCCTCACGTACTTGGCTTCAAACAAATCTATCCAAGTGCCTAAAATACATATAGAGGGGTTGGGGATTTAGCTTGGCAGAGTAAGTGCCTGCCTGGCAAGTGTGAGGCATCAGTTTGATCCCTGGTACCAAAATAAATAAATAAAATGCATATAGAAAAAAACACGAAAAATTGTTTTTTATTATCTTCCATCGTTTTCTTAGTTGTTCATGATGTGAATGTACTGGTGTCTGTATGTATGGGGTGGATCTTCCAACCCTGTGGATTAATGTCAGTAATCTCAACATATTGATTGTAGTTTTCTTCAGAAAAGGGAGAGATTGAAGATGCTATACTCCAAGATGGTAAAATCCTGAAACATGCTCAAGAGAATAATTTGTATGATTCAGGATTGTGTTAGAGCTCATTAAATAATATTATGATAGTCAAGTTGAAATCTGTCACTCTTTAAACCAGAGAAATCCTAAGCCTCATGTGAATTTGTAGTTGACTTATAGTTTGCATAATTACATGAAATTTATTCTTCTGTTTTTATAGTCTATTCGGCATTTGAAGTACTCAGTGTATAAGAAATCGCTGCTGGGCAGTGTTTCCGATAATGGACTTGTCACTCTCTGGGACGTGAACAGTCAGAGTCCGTACCATAACTTTGGCAGCACTCACAAAGCTCCGGCTTCAGGCATCTGTTTCTCTCCTGTCAATGAATTGCTGTTTGTAACCATAGGCCTGGATAAAAGAATCATCCTGTATGACACTTCATGTAAGAAGTAAGTGTGAGATAGTCATTTCTCAGTTTACTAGCAAATAGTTACTAAAGCATTAACAGATAGACAGTTTTTGTCACTCAGATAGATTTTGGATTATATCCAGGAGATCTAATCTTTCTATACGTGATGTATCTAGTGAAATTGAGTTTTCTCGTTTTTCTTTTTTTTCCCTTCGCTTGCAGAACAAATGGATAAAGGAGTGGATAGTAGGATGTATCTGGGAAGTGCGTGTTAGGGATTGCATCTTAATGACTTCACATCTTCGTTTTAACATACTTACTCTTTTTCAAAATATGACTAATGTATTTTTAAAGCATTACGGTTAATTTGCCTTAACATTTATTTTCTGGAGCAAGTTTCTAAATGTTGACATTGGGGCCCACAGTTCTTTGTTGCAGGTTTCTGTCTTGGCTGTTGTAGGGTACTTGGCAGCATCCCTGGCCTCTGCCCACTAAATCTCAAAACATTCCCTGAGTTGTGACAGCCTAAACTATCTCCAGAAGTTGTCAAATATTCCCAGGGACAAAATTGCCACCAGTTGGGTACATAGAGGCCCTTATGCCCCCCCCCCCGTAAGTTATAGATATACTTGATTACTCTGACCCCACAAAAACCAGCTGCAAGAGTGCTACAGTCATTGTCAAGGCATCTAAAATTAATGCTCATGTAGGTTGTTACTGTTACTGTTAGAGAGGAGTAGGGACTAGCAAGCCTTGTGTCCATGCTAGAACGCTGACTGCCCTTTATGCCACTGTCTTCTCTCCTGTGATCATTCCTGAGAACCCTGCATGTGAGCCATTTTTCACTTGTAGGAGACACCAGTGACGTGCTCAGCTTTAAATGGATTGTGCTCCTCTTAGCTTTTTGGTCCAAACAAAGTAGCAGATGCTGCCCTGTGAAAGGTCATAGTCCTCTGAGACCTAAGCAGCTCAGTGAGTGAAAAGCGGACACTTAGAGCCACCTCAGCCTAAGGCGAGAGCTTTGGTTTGTGGAGCAACAGCTAAGAGTCTGTCGCACGCACTGCCAAGGCGGGGATGACTCAGAGAGAGCTGTGGAGCTGGAGGGTGGAGACTGTGCCTGTTGGGACTGAATAATGAACAGGATGCAGGGGTCCTCGGTTCTCTTTTCATGTTTTACTGTTTTAAATGTATTTTAATTAGTGCCTATTATTTTGTAAAATATTGGTTATCAGTGTGGTGTTTTCAGACATGCTGCTCAGCAGTCCTTTTCCTGCCATCTAAAACAGTCTGAAATTCTGTTTTAAACAAGTTCTGCATTTTTGGGGTGTGTATGCTGCTCACCCATTGCTGAATAATGTGGTTGTTAATAACTCGTTCACGTGGACCTCTGTGCCCGCGACCCAGACACAGCTGCGTGCGCTCTGTTCCTTCCCTCTAAGGCTCGTGAAGACGTTAGTGGCCGAGGCTCCTCTCACTGCAGTCGATTTCATGTCTGATGGCGCCACTCTGGCGATTGGCTCCTCCCGTGGGAAAATCTATCTGTATGATTTAAGGATGTTGAAATCACCAGTTAAAACCATCAGCGCCCACAAGACATCTGTGCAGTGTATAGCATTTCAGTGCTCCACTGCCCTTACTAAGGTGGGATATTTTCTTTTTAGCATTTTTAATTTTACTAAAAAAATTTCAGTTCAAAATATGAAAAATTTATGTCTTCAGAGTATAATATTGCTTCATAATTTTATGTGATAGCATTTAAGTAGTTTTAATACTATTTTAAGCCATTTGATTCTTAGTTAAAAACATGTTTTTGGTACTTAGTTCTCATACATCTCTCTGAAAGTATTTGGAAGCTTGTTTTGCTATAGAGGGAAACTTAGCTCTGTAAACAAACTTAAGATTTATGAGGGAAAGTGAATTTTTAAACCTAACTGGGAATGTATAAAATATTAATGTGTAAAGTGACATTAGTAACCTGAGCTTTTGAATGTTTCATTTCTTTTCAGTCAGGTTTAAATAAAGGCTGCTCAAATAAGGCCGCAGCAGTGAACAAACGGAGCGTTGCCGTGAGCCCGACCACCGGGGCAGGGGTTCCGAATTCCGGGGCTGTCAGGGAAGCGGCCCCCGCCGCCGTCACCACCGCTCTGTCGCAGCCCCTGACAGCAGCTGTGGCCAAAGGCGTCCCTAGCACTCAGGACAAAGCAGGTAAATGTTACTTGTGTGTTATTTGGAGGTTTTTTTCTTCCCCAAACATCAAATGATATGTTTTCAAGAAGTTCATAGAGTGCTCATATTTTGTCTATTCTGATGAACTTCTGTTTGTGGCTGTTTTTTTAATAGCAATCCTGGAGTAGGTTGGAACCTACAGTCTTTGCGCTGAGCTACATCCCTAAACCTGTTCTGTTTTTTTATTTTGAGACCATGTCTTGCCAAGTCACTAAACTGTGCAGGCTGGGCTCAAAAGTACGATCTTCCTGCCTCAGCTTCCCAGAGTGCTGGGATTGCAAGCTTGTGCTATTACAGCTGGCTCTGTGTGCTTTTTGTTTCATCTTCTGTGCTGGGAATCAAACCAGTACCATCAAACATGCCAGGCACGTGCTCTACATGGGGCCACGTGGCCCTCAGGTGAACTTTTGAGAAACAGTGATTGTTTTAAAAATAGAGTGACGCCCGCTCAGAAGTCACTCATCTTTAATATCGCTGCGGACTGCGTGGCTGCCACCGTCTCATCAGCAGAGCGTGTGGAACTTGGCCGCTGTCGTCGTGATTTCACCTCATGGGGGAAGGAAAGTGATTAATGGCTCCTTTTATTTCACATCTTCGAGAGAAAACTAAGGTGATACCATGAATATTTTTAAGTGCTGGCGAGTGCCAGGCACATGTTAGGCAGAGCACAGTTTGAGATGAAAATGTGGGACCTTTTTTAAGATTTCTTCCGTTCTCATATCATACTGTTAAAACAGTTCTGACACAGGAATTCAGTCAGTCTTCATGAAGAGAGAATCGTGCGTTTCACTTTTATTTACTACGCAGCTTGACCGTAACAAAGATCATATTTTGTAAATCTTAGCAACTTGTTTGCATTTTAGAAATTATGCTGTACTGTGAGCTTGCAACAGGTTCTTTAAAGGTCTACATGGTACATCAGTGATTTTCAAAACACTGTGCTCAGTAGAAATATGTTTGTCAGGACAAGTACAGGCACAAAAATATTTGTTAATATCCTCTCAATATGAATTTACTATCTGTAAGTGGCAGCAAAACTTTAGTCTTAGTAACATAGAATAGCTTTTTAAACTTTTAAAAATATGCTTTTAAGGTATATTCATTATTACTTTTCTGTGAATATCTACATCACCTTATAGAATAAAGGTAATATAGCAGATTACAAATATTGTAATTAGGTCCTTATTTAAAGACTTCTTAGAGACAAATACTATTGTTATTGACCCAAAAGAAATTATTTTTGAAATATTACCTTTAATAATAACTGTCAATGTTAAATTAACTATGTAATGAAAACTGGTAATTGTTTTCAAAATTTTAAGATTTGTTAATTTATTCATAATTTTTTAAAGTAAAAATTTCTCATTTATGGTAAACTCGAAGGATCAGTGTTCTTTGTTTAGTCTTTAATAAGTAATTTCTTGCTTAAGAATGACAACATTAATTAGGAAACAAAAGAATTGTGTCTGCTAGATCACTAATTAGTGATAATTGGCAGGTTCCCAAAATCTCCTGCAAAATGAGTATTCTTCCTTCACACGGAGATTTTTTATTAATTTTGTTTTCAAATAATTGCTGTGTTACAGAAAAGTTTAAGAATAGTATAATATGAAGAACTCTTGAGCTTTAGGTTTATTGTGAAAAATCAAAGAAAATGCCTGGTGCATGGCAGATACTCAGCAAATGATCTTGTTTCTAAAAAGAATTGTCAGGATTGTCACCCTCACATTGTTCCTGTAAGCTTTGTGTGAATCTCCAGTTTGAAAAAAGTCTGTTTCTCCTAAAGGTGTTCTTATTTAGTTATTGGAAAGAACCTCTACAACTTGTTACTGGTGTTCATTTTCACTAGGAAACAGAGCCTTTTAAGAATAAAAATAAGGTCTTAGCACTGCTTTTAGCCAGTACCATACTACTGTTGTGTAAAGTGCGGCTTTCAAATATGTTAATGACCTAGAAAAGGAAAGGAAGTTTCACAGTGTGACCGTGTCTCAGTTACTGTGATGTACAAATGACCCTGTTCGGTTTTAATTCTGTAGCAGTTGTTGATTTCATTAATGAGGCCTGGGCAGTTTTCATTTGATCCTGAGATACCGAATAAAATACTTTTAAAAATGTGAGAGAGTAACATGCTACCATCCCAGAGGCAGAGTTTCAGCTCTGTTCTTCAGTCTCAAGAGTTCACTCTTAACCGAGAAACAAGCAAGAAGCCACGGGGCCTGCAGGGTTCTTACCAAGTCCCTGCCCTAAAGCCGTGTGTCACCTTCGTAGTGCCGGAGGGATAGACTGCCACAGCCTTTCTAGTGTTGCATACTGTGCTCTTCTTCATGAGTCTGATGTTCTGGTTGCCTTACTCTCCGTAATCTACAGAAGTTAGTGAAGTCATTTGTAAGTTGCATTCAGCATACTTTAAGTGGGCAGCAAAGTATAGAAATTGTTTTAGAAAATCTCCTTATTGAAATGGATGTCCTTATCAAATGTTGCAACAGGAACAAATAAACTACTGTATTTCTTCCTGAGGAACCTTCCTTCCCCGTGAGTGCTAGTTGGGTGACTGGTTGCCACATTTGGCTTCTTTTCCAGAAGTTCACAGTTGTAAAATTCCAACAATGTGATAAATGTTAATTTTTACAGTGTAATTTCTGAGGGTACTAACACTGATTTTATATCAAATTCTTCTAAGTTTTGCCTCGAAGCATAAATACAGATATTTCATTCAAGGAAACAGACAGTGGAAGAAATCAGGATTTCTCCAGCTTCGATGACACAGGAAAAAGTAGTTTAGGAGACATGTTTTCACCTGTTCGAGACGGTAAGTGCTGCGTTCAGATCAGTGGATCTTGTTCTCTCGGTGTTGGTCATTACATTTGCTTTCTAAACGTTGTGGGTAATGATTCGGTCTAATGATTCCTGTGTGGTACCTTTTCTTTTATACTTAATATTTTGAATGTTGTAATTCTAAAAAATACTCTGGTAATTTTCACATGATAACTATACAGAGAGTTCTCAAGTTAGGATTTTATTTTATTTTTGGTGTTGGGAATTGAACTCATGACCTCACACCTGCCAAGCAGGTCCTGTGCCACTGAACTATATCTCTGGCCCTAAGTTAGTGTTTTAATTTTCACAAAAATTTATCATGGTTCTGGCGATCAAACCCAGATCCTTACTCATGCCATGCAAGCTTGCTGACACTGAGCTACATGTCTAAACGCTACGCAGATTCCTTAAAGGAACTGTTACCATCCTGGACAGTGTGTTACTTATATCTCCTTCTAAATCCCCATAAGATCTTGGATATTTTGGAATCCAAAATACAGCTTCCTGACTTCAAATATTTAAGATTATTAGTGTTGAATTACCATTTTTAAAATGTTTTCTTGGAGTATATGGCTAGATGATAGACCATCTCATTTTTTATATGTGAAAGTACCATGTGTCTGTCTGTACCACCCCACACCCATGATGTCCTGTGAATGTTACCATTAAAAGATGCCTCTGCCAGCCCAATCATTGGACACTCTGTCATTGTTCACAGTAGAGGAGCCTACGATGTTGTTTAGCTGTCCTTTTTTGTTTGTGATGTTTGTATTATTTTCCTTAAAAAGGTAGTCTTATTGCCAATGGTGATATTATCAGTCATAATAGGTAAATAACTAGAAGATAATTTGACAATTAAATTTTCATTCTTTTTTGGCCTAGTAATTCCATTTCTACAAATTTATCTCAGAACATATTCAGGGAAGCCTGTGAAGATGTGTGTGCCTACTGTTTTATTTATAATTCTGAAAACTTGAGTGTCAGCAGTAGCAGGATCTTAAAATTGCTGCACCAACTCATGATTTTATGCAATTTTTTTTTTTAAAAAATTGTCTTTCCGAAGTTTTCTACATTTCATAATCAGAAGGAATAAATCCTAGGCAGTGGTCCAGAGTTCTTGTCTTCTGCCTTACCCTGGTCTGAAAATACCTGCTTACCTTGGCAGGTCAGACCGGCCGGCTCCCATGTGGTAGAGGAGTGAGCAGAGTGTAGAGAGGGGAAGGTTGTGGGTGGGGAGGAAGGCGGGGTCCGCGCTGGGCCTGGGGACCCTGCGCTCCTCCCGCTGCAGAACCTGCGCTCGGGAGGACCTAGGAGCGGCTGTTCACAGGTGTCAGGGTTGCACATTTTGTCTTCTGAGAGGGTTTTTAAGAGAAATGAATAAATTTAGTTTTGTCATTTTTGTAAAACATTATTAGAATTTGAGGCTTTTACCCTCCATCAAGGTTTTATGTCATTAATAAGGAAAAGCATGGATACTAAAAATAATGCTGATTTTCATTGTTAAGGAATTTGATAATGTCAAAGATGTACCTATTTTGCTAAAAGGCATCATCTGTTCATGCCTCAGTTTCTTCATCTTTAAATAAAAATGCTCTCATTACGTAGTATATTTTCTAAAATGTGTGTGTCAGCATGCAGTGTATGAAGCAGGAGTATATACACATGCAAAGAGATAATCTCCCTATGAATATGAAAATCGTGTTTGTTAACCATTTGAATTTGGTGAATTTGACTTTCGCCCATTTTTATTAATCTGTTATAAAATTGACATAAGCAGGTTTTGTTTATGTACTATTAAATAACATTACAGTATTAAAAATAAATAAATATAAAATCATAAGCTTTTATAACACCATATTGCTTGCAAAATATTTGTGCATTGTTTCTCTTGATCCTCAAAACTTGTGAGATGATTAAAGCATTATCCCCACTATAAAGATGCAGATACTGAAGCTTAGTAGCATAAGAGACTTGTGCACAGTGAGAAAGCTATGAAATGAAGTAGGCAAAACTACACTGTAGATCTCTAAAACCCCTTTCATGGCTAGTTCTATACTTTGCTGACTCATTAAGCAACTGTATCATAGAATAATCTTCGTTTTTGCTGCTGTGTGTGAAGCTGAAAGATTGAGAATGGCTTAAATGAGTTCTGGCTTTAATCCTTAACCTCCCTTGGATTCTTCTTAAGATCATTAGTCTCTGAACTCTTTAGAGAAAGTAGGAAACTTCAGTTGCTATGACTTACTTTTCACTGTTTAAACTTTGATTCTCTTATTTTACTGCAGATGCTGTGGTTAACAAGGGAAGTGATGAGTTCCTTGGCAAAGGAGAAGGTAAGCACAACTTGAAAGTACTTTTAGGACAATGGAGTGATACTGTGCTGTCTGTTGCTGTGTAACAGATGATATCAACACTTGGAGGCTTGAAAGGCTTAGTAAACATTTATCGTTTTGTTATTTCTGTGAGCTGAGCATCTGAGACTGGCGTGGCTGGCTACCTTTGGCTTCAGGTCTTCACTGATGCTTCCGTCAGGGCATCATCGGGAGCTGCGTTCACAATAGTGAGAACGCACAAGGGAGAAGTGGCCTGATCTTAAAGCCAGTCCCAGCACCCTTGCCATTTCCCCTTTGCTAGACAGCCCTTTTCTAGGTGTGATTGGTCTTCCCCAAGAGAAGGGAGTGCACAGAAACGTTGGTAGGAGAAGGCAAGGGTCAGTCAGAGAACCAAACTAACGCTCCTCAGTTACGGAAAATGGACAGTGCCCCAGTCCATGTGTTTTTTAGTTTTCAGGTTTTTCCCATATTCTTCTGAGCCTCCACTGTAAGAGACGTATGTCATCATCCACCTTTATAGATCAGAAGGTGGAGCTTAGGAGTTTTAAAGGTGTGCCCGAGAGTACGCCTCAGTGAAAGAGCAGAGCTGAGAAGCCGCCTCGACTCCTGAGTGCAGATCTGTGTCTGCTGCGTGTTAGTCTGCCCAGCGGGGTAAGTGCCTCGCTGAAGAACCACATGCACATGGCCATGATGGTGTCTCTTCCTCTTTTTCAGGCTTTGACTTCCTCCCACAGTTGAGCTCAGTGTTTCCTCCAAGAAAAAATCTAGTAAATTCAAGTACTCCAATATTGCATTCTAGTCCTCTTAATGTCTTCCTGGGATCTCCAGGGAAGGAAGAAAATGAAAATCCTGATCTGACAGCTGAGTCAAGGAAAGCATACCTGGGAAAACAGGACCCTACAGACTCCTTCAAACAGGTATCCGTGTGGACAGGGGACTGACGTCACTTGGGTGCCTGTCAGCTGAGAGCAGGCTGCTGCCCCGGCATGGATCCTGATTATTGACAGTGCTCTATATGTGCTTACTGACACCCTTCCTCACAATCTTGATGTCACCTTGGGTTTTGTGTGTATGTGTGCTGGAAGAGTATGGGGTTAGAAGCCAGGGTCTCCGGTATGCTAAGGACATGCTGCATCACTGAGTTACATGCCCAGCCCATAATGCAACATTTTAGTAACTGACGAACACTTTCGGAGTCTATTTGTGGATATGTTGAAAGTATCAGCAGTTGTAAACTTAACACTATTTTTTTCTAAGATGTTCGCCTGTGTAAGAACATTTATAGCCTAATTCTTCTAAAATACGTGTTTTTACAGCACTAGGCATCAAGTTGATAATTCAGTCCTTTAAGACAGTGCAGATTTGATGGTGCTAAGTGTGGAACGCATTATTAATGCTTTCTGCTAAAATTACAGTATCCAACATAGAATTTAATTTCTTATATAAGACTTCAAAATGATCAGATATTATAGGAAGAGCAAATCTATTAGGTGTGTAGTATGTATTTCCAAATTTACCTTTTAGAGTAATATTGAAAAATTATGCAGGAAGTACAAAAATGTCTTTTGATTTATTTTTCAAATATTTCTGTCTAGTTTACCAGATGAGAGCTTGGAGATTTTCATTTTTTATTATTTCTTTTTTGTGAGTGATTTGCATTTTAAATTATATTCAACAGCAGATGCTTAGAAAATTAGCTTTTCCTCCTCATGTTGTTGTGACTGGTTTCGATTAGTGGACTTACTTCGCAGCTAGTCCTAATACGTGTTTTACTTTGAAATCTTTTCCTCTTCTTCCTTCATTTCCCTGGTCCTACCTGCTGGAAAAAAAGTGGAAAGTACATAAAATTTTAGAAGTAATATGGGTAAAACAAATTATAAATTAAAGTAATTGTTTACTTTAAATGTGAAGTTTGCAAAGTTGATCTCCTCTGGTGCTGAAACTGGAAATTTGAATACCTCTCCATCCTCTAACCAAACAAGAAATCTCGAGAAATTTGAAAAGCCAGAGAACGAAATTGAAGCCCAACTGATACATGAACCCACCGTGAATGGATCCTCAACTCCAAGTAAGTTCGTAAAGCTTCCCGGTGTTTGTCAGTGTTAAGCTGAATAACTTTCCTGTTTAACTTGGAAAGGATAGAAAGGTCATAGACTGGAAAAAGAGTTGCAGGAGTTTAAAGTTTATGGACATTTTGTAGTGTGACTTTCTCACTGGAGAGAGTGAGGTGTGTATGATGGTAAAGTCCAGCAGCATTAATTTGTTCCTCATTTGGTGTGTTTCATTTTCACTCTAATTACAAGATTTTGATTTAATACGGTATAGATCGAATTATAGGATTATTTGAAAAGGAATGATTACTTAAAACTATAAATCTGTTTTTCTCTTCTTTATATTATTTCCCTTTAATATAAAGAATTTATGCCATAGATGCATAAAAACTTGATTGCATTTAAAGGACTGTTAGGTTCCCCTTTAAGAATTTTCTATGCGAAGAAACCTCATGGAGAAGCAACTCTTTTATATGGGCCTCTGCATTTTACTTGAAGTTTCTGTGGATGTGTTGCATTACCTTAACTCTAGGGCTTTGCCTGGAGCACTGCCTTACTCCTGTTCTCTATTTGTTTTTTAATCATCTTGATATATCTGGTTTGTGGGAGGCTTGTCTCATTCATCTTTAACAAGAGGAAGTGGTTCAGAGATTCTTCAAGATTAATCCCTCTGTCATGTGTTACTACATTAGACGCTCAGCAGTTTATACATATAGATAAATGACTATTAGAAATAATGTCATTAAAAAGATTCTAAAGTTTGTATTCCAGACAGTGAATTTTTCTAAGTGTCATAGGAACCCTGTTCTTTGCCAGTTTTTCAAGTTTTCTCATTCTAAATCTTATTTGGGAATATTCGATGTCTCTTAGTCCTCGTGGACTATTAATATTTTCTCCGTGCTTTATTTTAGATCTGAAGATAGCATCCTCTGTTGCTGCTGGAGTGGCCAGTTCCCTCTCAGAAAGGATAGTCGACACAATCGGAAGCAGTCGCCCGAATGCGCCACTGACAGCGGTTCAGATCCGCTTTATCCAGAACATGATCCAGGAGACCCTGGATGACTTTAGGTAGTAACTGAGAAGTGTCTCTTTCTGCCTAGACCTCGGAGTTCTGTTGTGTTAGTAGATGAGAGTAGCTGTAAGTAATGTTGATGGCTGCTACTGTCTAGGTTCTGGTAACCCTAAAGCTCTAGAAAACATGGGGAGTTTTTCAGTCTGATTGCACTGAATTCATTGGCCATCAGCTAGAAAAAGACATTTATCTAGAGCAATTATTAGGTAACTTGACAGGAAAGTCTTAGCGTGCAGGGTGAGAATCTTGTGAGCCTATATACAGTCCTTACAAGTGATAGTTATGGATCACCTGTTAAGTATGCTGTTTGCGCAGAGTAAAGAAAGGTATTCTAAAGACTAACCATAGCAGTTTTCAAAATAGGCATCAGAATGGTGTAATACTTAACATTAAAAAGGATCTTTCCTGAATCTAACCTTGTCTTGTTTTCTTTTGGCTTTTTGAGATAGGGCTTCACTGTGTAGTTCAGGCTGACCTTGAACTTACTGTTTTAATCCAGGTTGGCCTTGAACTTGCAGTGGTCCTCTTGCCTCAGCCTCCCGAGTGCCGCGCTTACAGGCCGGCGCCACCATGCCCAGCGTCTGGTTGGCTTGCCCATCCTTTGATTTGTCAGTGTGCTCTAGAATGCTGCTGCTTTTCACTTACTGTTTTAATATTTGGAAACTTTTAAATTGTTAGAATCTTTAGTGGTTTGTTTACCTTTTTAACCTACAGCTTCTTGGATTATCATGAACAAGATTATTGAAGATATGTGGTTTCATTGGTACACATTTATTTTTAAAATACAATTTTAATATTAGAAAAAGTTTAAGAAAAGCATCGTGTTAGTGTTTACAGTATATAGTAGTTGGTGTAGCCGATACCAAGTATGCAGAAGCAAGCGTCTGCCCAGTGGCTTTTCCAGGTTATGGGACAGCTGCAACGTGTCCCGCTGCGCGTGTCCTTACCATGTGAATTAGTTCACTTGTGATTGGCAAGGAAACTTTGTTCTTGTGAGAACGGCCAGAGTGAAGTGCGTGTTACCACAGCTGAGTGCGCTGACCCCATCTGTGTCATCGCCTCTCTCCCCACCGTGGTGTAGTTATGTGCTCTGTGTTTGACTTACTTATTTGTGGTTGTCCCCTATTTTGGGGCATTTTCCCCAGGCTTCCATAATGTAACAGTCCCATTTCTTTCTTCTGTCATCTCTCTCTCTGCATTCAGTGAGCATCCCTTTGATAAGTTGCTTTATTCAATATTTATTAAACTTACAAAAAGCCGGCCTTCCTCGGCTGGGACAGACCGCCAGCCGCCAGCTGGTCCCTGAGGCCCTGGAGTGCCTTTGAGGTGTTCTGGTTCTCCCTGCCCCTGTGCCTCAGCGGCTGGGCTCTGTCCAGCCTGTTGCTCTCCAATTTTGTGTGTGTTTTTCTTTTTCCATAAGCCCTCAATGAGATCTGTGGTGGAAATAAATGCAGAGTATATAATTGGGGTTGTAGTGAAAACCTTCACTTGGGCTTTAAAAATCTGTGAAAGTTTAGATCCAGCTCCAGGCCACTGCTGCCTCTTTTTCCATATTATGGCGTCAGTGTTAAAAGGAGGTAAAATGGTCGGCTTCCTTCTCTAAAGACCCTCAGCTCATCTAGTCTTAGCTGCACTGGTGGTTCTCTGATACTGTCATTGATGGACTGGTTGAATGTTTGGTGCTGGGGATGGAACCCAAAGCTTCATGCATGCTAGGAAGGCAGTCTGCTACTGGCCCACTCCCGAGCCTTCTGATAACTTCTATTTCGAATACAGTTTTTATCGTAACAAAGCAGAAGGAAACTTTTAGAAGTGCTTTGAAAACAAAAAATAAGGTACTTGAGAATAAGTCCAACCAAAGGTGGTAAAGATCTCTATTAAAAAATGTTTTAAAGTATTGCAAAACATTAACACTTAAATAAATGTACAGGTATTGTGAAGCTATCAGTTCACAATCCAGTCAGTGTATCAACTGGATTATTCGGAAGATGGTGTTGAAATGATTCCAAAATATGTATAAAAGGGAAAGATCCAAGAATGACAGACATGTTAGAGAAAAATGAGGTTGAAGGAGGACTTATTTACTTATTTACTGGATGGAATAAACATAATTTTTAAGAACAATCCATATATTACCTTGGCACAGAGTGGTCAGATTAGCCAAAGGACTCAGAGAGCCTAGAAGGAAACTGGATGAATGACAGAAGTAATATGCAAATTTGTGCCCAAAATATGGGATGATCAGTAAATTGTGGAATATGATTATTTGTATAAAAATAAATGTAGATCCTATTTCATACTATTAAAAAATCAGTCCTGTATTTTTAAAAGTTTAAATGTAAAAACAAAGTTTTATGAGTTTGTAAATTCAGAGTAGAAAAATGATTAATAATAAAGACATTACCCATAGAAATAGATTGGTGAATTTGACTGCAGTGTTAGATTAGTAAATTTGAGTATTACTGATAAGAACTCTTATCATAAGGCATCACTAACAAAGTAAAAGGATAAGAAAATGTCTGCAGTACCGATCCACTAGCAAAAGATCATATTACATAAAGAATTCGTGTAAATAAGAAAAATATTTGAAAAGACATTTTATAGAAGAGGAATATATGAACATGAGGAAACATGTTCATTCCCAGAATTAGATGAGATCGGGTGTGGTCAGGGTGGTATGGCCTAGACAGTCCCATAAGTGGAGGACAGATTTAGCAAGATACCACTTCATAGCTGTTAAGTGGGGAAACTGTGAGAAGTGTGGTAATGCCAAGTCTCAGAGCAAGGAGAACCGTTACATTAATGATGAGCATATCTACTAATACTACCCTTTGGAAAAGCAGTTGTTGTGATTTTATAAAATTGGACAAGTGTACACCTAGGCTTAGGACTGGATATATCTTTGGTTTATTGATATTTGCAGATTGAGAGTTCTATACATGATATTTTATAACAACATGTTCAGAAAAACTAGAAAATGATTCAGATACCAGTTGACAGGAAAATGAATATACCAGTGTAAACGAGTAGATAGACTGCAAACCTGGAAGTGTCTTTCCAGTATAATTGGCTTAGGACTACATGGAGTTTTGTATCCTTTTGTGATGCCCCACAACAAGCACAATAAAAACATATTAAAGAGTACTGTACAGGGGCTGGGGATTTAGCTCAGCGGCATAAGCACCTGCCTTGCAAGCAGGCAGTCGTGAGTTCGATCCCTGGTACCCAAGACAAAAAAAAAAGTACTGTACAAATGTAGTTTTTAAGGAGAACATTTTTGCTGAGAAATAGGGGAAGAACAGCTTCTTTCTTGGGTTGCCTCCCCAGCTGTTAAGTGGGGGTGTCAGATGGGGTATCAGTTCCTCTGGCTTGATAAATTTGTAGCTCCTGAGTTGGGTGGTGAGTAGTAACCAGTGTTTCTAGTTTTGCTTTTGGAGGCATGAAGTAATTGCATTTTATGTTTCAGCCACCCACATTTCCATTAGAACTTTTATTTTAGTAGTTAAAGCACTGATAATCAGATATTTGTGATCTAATGCACTTTGTCTGTTTCTTGTTTAAGTCTGTGTTTTCCTTTCTTGGCTATTTCAACCCAAAGGAATGCAGTATGGTAGGAGAGCTACGGTGGGCAGCTTGGCTTTACGTTTGTAAACGCACCGTTTGTTGGTTGGGTGGCTTTGGACAAGTTACAGCTGGCTTAGTGACATGATAGCTCCTGGCCGTGAGGATGGAGTGAGCTCCTGACACAGTGCCTAACACATAGTAACTAGCAGGGGTGTTGGTATTTTTATTTTTGTGATAAATATTGAGGTCCAGTAATTTGAAACTGTAAAAATCTGTTTCCTGAGTGATGTAGACAGGAATCTGTTTCCTGAGTAGAACTGGGTGAAGTGTTACCCTCCTGACAGGCGTTTTGCATTTTCTCCTAGGGAAGCATGCCACCGGGACATTGTGAATCTGCAAGTGGAGATGATTAAACAGTTTCATATGCAGCTGGTATGTACCGCAGATTGTCTTTCAAGTGAGCGTAGAGCGGTGTGGGGCTGACAGCACTCCGTTATAGGGAATGCAGTTTATCATTTCGATTTGAAGATAGAGTTTCACGTATCTAGTAAGTAGAACATTTTAACAGGTTGCCTTTTTTAAAGACTTGTAATAGTTGAAGCTAGTTTTTTTATAGCTTTCTTTTCTGTGAATGTAAATGTTCTAAATGTTACCAGTGATATTTGTGGTTAAATATAAGAAATATCATTCAGCTAGTTAATTGAACAAGAGAGAAATGATAGCGGGAAGTATATGAAACAGAGCTTACCAAGTAAATGTGAAACACCAATCATTTTAAAACATTTCCCTTTTTTTCTAGAATGAAATGCATTCTTTGCTGGAAAGGTTCTCAGTGAATGAAGGTTTAGTAGCTGAAATAGAAAGACTACGAGAAGAAAACAAAAGACTACGGGCTCACTTTTGATCTCTCTGTGAATCCCTTAGTATTTAATAACTTGTGGTTTCTGGCAGCACAGAACTACACAGAGTCAGTATTGTGCTCATCCTCTGGGGGAAATGGTGTTATTTTCATGTTGCAGATTTTGTACCAACCATTGTGTCATCATCCTCTGTTAAAATATGTATATTTTTATATTAAATACTACCGTAATCTTTTGCCTTAAAAGCCACAGGATCTTTATTTTCTGAAAGCTTTAACTGTACACTAAGTGCCCTTTATCATGAGCGAAGAAAATTGCATAAAAATAGGTTGTTTGGTTTTTAATTACGCTTTTTTTACTGATATAAATGATTGACAAATTACCTTACAAATTTTGGGAGGTGCATTTGAGATTTAAAAAGTTTGATATACTTTCTATTTTTATGCAGAAATTTTAAAATGACATTTGATTTTTTTAAGCCACTGATGACTAAAACAGTTGGCTAGTAATTATTTTTTTAGCTTGGTGGCATCAAGTATGGCTATTTATTACATATACATGTGATAATTTTTGAAAGTTTGAATTGTACAAATTATATCTTTCACATTTGTGCTACTGTACTTCGGCTAGCTCTCTTAGTTGGTATTTGCTAACTTTGTGAGAGCTGATATATCTACTGATCATTTTGTAAATTAATAATGTAAATTTATACTACAGAGTTTTCATCACTCTGACTCAGCATACAATCTGAAAATTTCATATTACATGCAGAATATTACAGTATTATTACCTCTTTTTTTCCTCAAGTAAAAAGTATGAATTATTCTGTTCTATGGTTTGTAGCATAAACTTTCTCCAATTCCTTGTGTTTTGTGAATATTTTTAAATTATTACCCTTACCATAAGATTGTTTGTAAAGGTTCATTGAAAAGAATTTTCACTTCTTTGGCCTTAGTTGGACATATTCAGCTACCTGCTGTGATCTGTACTTTTAGTGTCATTTGACTAGGACATCTGCTCACTTGTTTATGTTATTGTTCTCTTTTGTCCAAAGACTTAATCTCTGTATTGTCTATCCAGCCCTGCTGCCCTGTTTTGGATTCTGGGTTGAAAATACTAGAATTAAAAGGAAAAAAAAAATCAAAACAACAACAACAAAAAAACCAAGTCAAAAGAACACACTCAGCCCTAGTTTAGCACACTCTTTTTTCCAAAGTGCTGGAAACTATTAAAAGGCTTAGGTAAGTGAACATACTAACAGGTTTTCTAAAGATGAAAAACAATAACTTTATTTTTCCCCAGTAGGCCTTAAAGTAAAAGTACATTTGTGCTTAAAGAAAGCATAAAAAGGTGTTAAAATGATCTTTTCCTACCAGATTACAAAGCCTTATGACTTGTACAGTTTCCTTATCCATCACTATCAAATCAGTTTGGAAGACATAATACAGTATTAGTGTGTTTTGCCTACCTGCTGTAAATTTAAATCTGTTAATATTTTCCTGTTGCCTTTTTCTGTACATGTGTATAACTTTATTAAAAGAAATGGGACAAATTATTTTTAGTAATTGTATTCATACAGATGGAATGTTTTTGTCATGGATTTAAAAGCTACATAGAAAATATTAAAACTTTATATTCAATAAATAAGGGATCTAAAACAAAACTTTATCCTGTGACCAAAATGGAACAATAGAGATTGAACTTACTTTTCCCACTGTAAACAAAGACAAAATGACAATAACAAAACAGACAAAATGTGTGAAATAGTGTTTAGATGTCAGATGTTACACAGTAAACCTTAACAAAGGGAAACCAGTGAGACCTAGCAAACTCAATGAACTCAAAACACAAGATATGAGAAAACCACACCAAAGTCCTTAAAACCAGCAGCAGAGAAAATTCTTAGAAGAAGCTGAAGAAAAGGCACAGAAGAGCACAGGTAGGGACACAGTGGCATTGGTACATGTGTGTAACACGTCTTAACTTTTCCCGTGTCTCCCCCCAGCTCCTGATCCCCTTCCCTGCTGAGAAAGAGCCATCTTCCGTTGTCTGTCTTACTATCTCTTATGTTGCTCTTTATGGATTGTGAGTTTCTCATATAAGAAGCCATGCAATATTTAAACTTGTGTGCTGATAAAATTTCAGTTAGACTTATGGTCTCAAGGTGCATCCATTTTCCTACAAATGACTCAGTTTTCTTTGTGGCCGATTAGTGCTCCATTGTGTATTAATGCCACAGTTTCTTTGTCCATCATTGGTAGACATGTAGGCTGTTTCCAAGATCTGGCATTATGAATTATGCTGCTATAAACATACATATGCATGTATCTCTAATAGGATGTTTTTAACTCTTAGGAAGATAACTGAATCAAATGGGATTTTGAGTCTCTCTTTTGTTAGATTTTTATTCGTTTTTTTGAAACTGGGTCTCACCATGTAGTTCAGGATACTGGCCTTGAACTTGTGATCCTCCTGCCTCAGCCTCCCAAGTGCTAGGCTTAGAGGAGCGCACCTCCACACCCACCTCTAGTGTCTATTTTGAAGATCTGTACTGATTTCCATGGGAGCTCTACTAGTTTACATTCCCATCAACTATATGGAAGGCTTTCTTCCACGAAGTGTTTGTTCATTTCACTTGCCCATATTTTGATTTGATTTATTTTGAGGAGTCAAAAATTTTTGAGTTCTTTAGTCCAGATATCAGTTCTCTTAAATAGCTGCCAAAATTTTTTTCTCATTCTATAAGTTGTCTTTGTTGGTTGTTTACTTTGCTGTGCAAAGCTTTTTAATTTGATAAGACCTCATTTGTGGACTCTTACACTGTTTCCTGTGTAACTGGGGTTCTGTATCAGTGTCTTTAAAGTGCTGAAAGAAAAAAATTAGAGTCTACACCGACTGAAAATGTGTTTTAGAAACAAAAATGAAATAAATTTTTCAAGCCTAGGAAAGTTGAAACAGTTTATCACAAGCAGAATAAACTGTAGGAAATATTATGTGTCTCAGAAGTAACGTGATGTCAGATGGAAATCTGCAGCCGTGACAGAGTGAAAAGCAAAAGTGTTAGTGTGTGAATGCAGGATTTGTACAGTGCACCGTAGTCATAAGCTTGGGAGGGTCTCTAATGGGAGCAGGACAGTGTTACCTGAAGAAGGTAAACTGACCAGCATGTAAGCTGTAAGTGCCAAACTTAGCAACGAGAGAAACACAATAAATACCTAATAAATGAATATGATAATATGCAACTGTAAAAAATTAAAAGACAAAAACCCCAAACAGTAACATGGTAGATTTAAGTAGCCGTGTCTATAATTACATTAAATAAACACACTGAACTTAAAGATTCAGATTGAGTCTTTAAAAATCCAACTACTGAATACAGTAACCCCAATTTAAATATAAAGATGTGGTTTATGAAAATAAAATACTAGTACATTGAATGCAAATGAAAAATTTATGGGAGTTAAGGCAGTAATTACTGGAGAATTTATTTTTAACCAATGATCTCAGCTTCCACTGAAAGCCAGAAAGATAAGCGAACTGCAAAATACAAAAGGAAAACAAGAAAGTGCAGTGTAAGTGGACAACAAAACCAGCTGAGAAAATCAGTGTGGTGTTGTCAGGGGTTGCAAGAGAAATTCTATTCAGGATATAGAATTTACAGTATTTTATGATGGTCACCCAGAGTTAAATACAAAAAAGTACAGGAAATCTGTCCACAACACTAAAGACCTGGAAAATGCAGCTGAGGGCCTGGATTCCACAAATGAGTCCAATTGAAGTGCTCTCTAGAGACCATTACAGTCCCTCCCGTGAGTCCAACTCTGGAGGTCTAGAGCCCCCAAGAAAGACTCAGGCCAATGTTTGATGAGTCTGCATTGCGAAGGCCCAAAGGTCAGGGATGGAATCCAGAAAAGTCCATGCCAGCGGGGTGAAGGAGTTGTGCTGGCAGGTTGAGGGTTCTACCCTGGAGCCAAGAAGTAACACTCAAAATAAGGACCAGGGTTCCCTGAAAAGCAAGACAGCCATCCTCAGCAACAATGTAGTCCCGAGCTCTCCCAACCGTAAGAACAGCCGGGTGCATAACGGGAAGCCAGCGTGACAACTGGAGATGTTTTAAGCAGCGCACACTTTTCCCTCCAGAACCAAGAAGTGATGCTCAGAGTAAGGACCAGAGCTTCCTCAAAGTGCACCACATCCACTCGGCAACAAGGTTCCGAGCTCCTCTGAGAATGGCTGAATTCATATCGGAGAAGCCAGCATGACAGGTTGACAGGTTCCTCCAGGAGAACCACAGCTCCAGACAAGAATACTTAAGAGAACCCTCAACGCCTGCACCATTCGTCTCGTGTCTCCTTTTATGCTGATTTAACTCAGCTGATGTTAAGTTGCCACCAGTTTTTAATCCATAGCAGAGAAACCAAAAGCTGTTTAGAAATTAGTTCTGTGGCCACATAATAAGAAGAGAAATTGTCAATATCAGGAATGAAAAATGGCATCACTGCAGACTACAGGTATTTCTGGCAAAGAAAATGCTAAACACAAAAGGCTATAATGAATTCTTTCCAATAAAGAAGAAAGTATCGCAGTTCTCAACAAATGCTTATACAAAGAAAGAAGGGATAATTCTCAACTTGAGGCCAGTGTGATAGGGTAATAAGGCAGCTTGTGGCAAGAAGACTCCTTGGTACAAAAGTTGGATCTCAGTTTGAATCCCGTGATGTGTAAAAACGATAATACGTACAACTATGTGATACTTAACCTCAAGAATGAAAATTTGGGCAAACTTTAAAAATGGTAATTCACTTATTAAAAACTCATGGGGAAAACATTGCAGTATTTGCAAAAAGCATTGAATGGACAAAACCCCTCATTCATTTCTTATGGAACACTCAGCAAAGTAGGAATAATTATACTCAAACTGACAAAGGCATCTAAGAAAAAGGAGCAGCCAGGCTCATACATACGTGGTGAAAAAAACAAATGGTTCCCCTAAGGTCAGAAAAAAAAGCAAGAATACCTAATATCCCATATTGTTTTGGAGTTTCTAGCTAGGTTAATAAAAAAGATAGGATAAAAGATACCCAGGTTACACAAGATGTAAAAGATTTACTAACGGATGACTTAATTTGACTCTAGAAAGTCCTATGGACTAAGTAAAAATTCCCAGTGAGTAAGCCTGATGATAGAAAGCATTGTCAGTATTGAAAACTCAGTAGCCTTTCTATGTGTTAGCAACCATGAGAAACAGTTGTGTAAATCTGAGGAAAGATGCACAATTTGTCAGTGAATTCTGTAAAACATCTGTGACAATGGGGAGACATTCACACTAGTGCATTGGGAGTTTCGATTCTGTTAGGTGTCAGTTCTGTCCACATAAACTCCAATGAGAGATTGGCAGGAAGTTTTCAGGATTTTTAAAACTCTTTCTAAAATTTGAAGATACAAAAGATTAAGAGTAACGAAGCCAACGTTAGGAAAAACAGCACATTTGAAGACTTACATTTCTTAATTCTTAGACTTGTTACAAAACTGCACTAAGCACTACAAAAAGAGCATAAGTTGATGTAGCATAATACAGTCCAAAGAACTCATCTATACAGTCAACTGATTTTTGGTGAACACGTAAAGGCAAGCCAATGGAAAAAGGATAGACTTACAAAGTTTTGTTGGAAAAGTAGGTGGATATTTATAAGGGGAACAAAAATTCTGATGTATACTTGTATGTAAAGCAATTACCTCAAAATGGATCGTAAATTGAACTAACTGTAAATTATAAAAGATTTCTGAGTCAGGCATAGTGGCATATGCCTGTAATACCAGCACACAGGGAGGCTGAGGCAGGAAGATCACCAGCCTGCATGAGTTTAAGGCCAGCCTCACTATAGAGAAAGACCCTGTCTCAAAAAAGAGAAAAAGGAAAGGAAAAGAAAGAAGAAAACATTTCTGGAAGATAGCATGAGACATATTTTTTTCTTTGAGTCTAGCAGATATATGTAACACAAGTAAAGATACACTAAACCTGCAAAAATAAAATACGATTTATAAAAGTGTTAAGAATTACAATACAAGGCATTATGAGAAAATGTTTTCTGATCATATAGCTAATAAACTTGTATGCAGAATACATAAAGGAATCTCAAGACAAGAAAACCCAGTTTTAAGTGGACAACTGATTTAAGTGGACACTCATCAAAGATGATAGGAAGATGGTAGGTATGTATACACAGAGAACTTATCATCATCATTGGTCTTCAGGGAAATACAAACCACCACCATGTGACAATACTACAGTAGCTGAAATTGTGAAAACTCACTATGCGTGTATTGATGTAGATGTGGGATAACAAATTTTATATTCCAAGAATATAGAATGGTACAAGTCATCTTACAAAACCTTTTTTTAACAGCTTCAACAGTTGAATGTACATCTGCCATGTACCCTAGCTATTATGATATTTAGGAGAAATTAAAGTATATATCAATTCAAGAATGTACTTGCATGGTCATAATTCATTTGTAATAACCAAAATCTAGAAATAATCCAAATGTCTTGTCAACAGATGGAAATAGATAAATAAAATGGAAGTATATACAATAGAATACCATCTAGCTCTATAAAGGGAAAAAATTATAGTATCTACAGAAGTATAGGTGAATCACAAAATCATTGTACTGAGCAACAAGTTAGTGCCATGCATTTCCAGTTATGTACAGTTCTATAAGATGCAAACTTAACTATAGTGACAATGCAGTCTGTTGTAGTTGGGGGTTTGCAAGAACAACTACATTCAGGACACATAATTTATAGTATTATTTATAACGATCACCCAAGGAGTCAAAGAAAGTGCAGGAAATCTGTCTGCAATGCTAACGACCTAGAAAATCCAGCCGAGAGACTGGATCCCATAGCAATAACTTGCATGAGTTCAGCTGAAAACCTAGAGCCCACAGTGACCCATGCAAGTCTATTCCATGGATCTGTGCTAGAAAGTCTGTGCCAGCGGGGTGAAGCATCTGTGCCAGCAGGCTGAGGGTTCTGAACCAGAGTCAAGAAGCGATGCTCAAAATAAGAACTAGGGTTCCCTGAGCTTGGGACCTCACTGTCGCTGAGGATGGCTGTGGTCCTTTTCCTTTGGCGATGAGAAGAGCTGAGTTCCTATCAGGAGGCCAGGTGACAGACTTCTGGAGACTGAACAGCACACATCTTCCCCTCCGGAGCCCGGAAGTGATGCTCAAAGTAAGGACCAGAGCGCTCCCAAAGTGAACCGCAGCCACTCTCAGCGACAAGGTCCCGAGCTCCTCTGATGATAACAGGTGAGTTCATATCAGGGAGCCAGCATGACAAGCTCCTCCAGGAGAACCAAGGGCTCCAAATAACAATAACGCTTAGGAGAACATACAACACTACCCTTCCTCTGCAGGTCTCCTTTTTATGCTGGCAACAGTCCTCAGGTGGGCCGTCCACGCTCGGCACGATGCTGACCCAGTTCAGCTGGTGTTTAAATTGCCCACCAGTTACCAACCCACTATGCAGTGTTTGCCTGAAAAGGAGGCAGTAGGTAAGAAGGAGAGGTTACAAGGGATCACAGGAAACTGGTCAGTGAGGACTGTGTTTATTACTTCCACAGTGACAATGGGAGTATTTATGCCAACAGTTTCCAATTTGTATCCCTTCCTTTAAGTCAATCATACTTTACTATGATGTTTAGATCTTTAGAAGAGGTCACTTCTAGTAGATGACATTAATAGTATGTTGAGATGACTTTTCCTACTTCACACTGAGTATTGTTCAAGTTATGAAGTTGATATGAAAGAAAAATCTGAATTTTAACTTCGTACTTTGTGTTTCACATATAGCTCTTAATGTGTGAGAGGAATTATCAGTATTGAACTTGTGAGGATTGTATTGTGATTCTGTCTGCTCTTACTATTCACGGTAAACCATAAGGACATGGAAGATGTAGGCCTCACTGAACATTACAAAGTGTTTGGTTTTATAGTAAACAACAGCAAAACATATGTATCATCTAAAAATTGGAAGTTTAACCGTGATGAAAACTTTAATTTCTAAAAATTTGAATAGCACTCTCTTTGTGAAGCCTGTAGTCATTTAAAATTTTATCTTGGAATGTTAAAGTTTTGCCTGTTAGATTGTCTTTCCCTAACCTGTTGTACATTTATAAGTAGACATTTATTAATGAACAGGATGTTTCGGTTGCACAAAATTGCAAAGTCCAGTTTGAAATTGATATGTTTTCTATGCAACTCAGTTGACATATATGCAAGTTTCTTTGATAACATAATTATTATGAGAAAAGTGTAGCTGTTAAATAAAATTTTACATTTGTATTTGTTATATTTTCAAAAAGGTCTGGTTTAGCAAAATTGCCAAGAAAATAAAGGCAAGAAACTAGAGTAAAACTGGTGTGGTGGTGTACTCTTGTAATCCCAGCACTCAGGAGGCTGAGGCAGGAGGATCACTGAGTTCAAGGCCAGCCTGGGCTATTTTAGGGAGTTCAAGGTCAACCCGAACCATATAATGAAACCTGGTCTCAAAAAAGACCAAAAAAAAAAAAAAAATAAATAAATAAATAAATAAACTACAATAATGCTTTTATTCAAATTTACTTTTCTTATTCATTGAGTACCTAACACTGTAGATAATGCTATTTGTTAAAGGATGAAAAGAGGATATAATTTCATGGAGATCAGACTTACTAAGTTCCATTATTCAGTAAATTGTGATTTTTACCATTTAAAATATTTCAAGTGGAAAAAATATTATCATATGCTGGATCTTTGAGCTTGAAACATGATCTCACCTAACAATTTAAAGTAGTGATGATGAAAGAGGCTATGTTGTGACTGCGGCTTGGAAGATGCAAATTTACACGTCTCTCATAACAATTAAATCTTTGCGATCTAATTTCAGATATGAAGAAGGCTTTTGCTGTTTTGGTTTTGGGGGACTCGATTGTCATTTTAAAAGAAAGATGCTTTTCAAAGTACGGATGGCTCTGTGGGCTGGGGCTTGGCACTGTCAGTTGCCTAATTTATACTTCATGGCACAAAGATGTCACAGCACCAATGACCTGAGTGTTTGGGAAACATGAGTTACCTACTCGGCCCCGTCCACCTCTGTCATCGTCAGCATCGCTGGTCCATGAAATGCAGAATGTTTCAAAGGACCATATAAAAGCAGGCATTACTGTGGGTTACTCTATCTCCTGATGTCATCCAAATCATACTGCATATAGATTTGCGGTAAAGTCATTAAAAATTACCCCCAGTACTTTATAAAATGATATTCTATTCTGCTTCAAGAAGTTTCCAAAAATGAATTCACTTTCACTTTATTATTGAAAATACTAGTTGATACATTATGCAGATTTTACATTTGACCTTGCGATGATAAAAGTAATGAAGTATACTAATTTTCGAAGCAAAGTTTGATATAACGGTAAAGTAATAAGCCATAATTGGTTGGCTGTGTCAGTGTGTTGATAATTTTGTATATTTATTATTCCATTTTAACGTACATTTATTCAGACCTAATGTAAAATTGAGACCTGCAATTCCCAGTGGTCAACACAGAAGGACAAATAATACAGTTGGTAAACATAATTCACTTCGTTCTGTTTCTGAAGCCTTTTCTGCAGCAGGAATTGAAAGATAATTTAGTGTTAAACGAGGGTCACTCTACATACTGATCGAAGTTTTGAAGGCAGAAATGCTCCTTAGTGTGAAGGTGCTGGAATTAGGTGCTCCAGGCTAGAGAGAGCGAAGTAACGGCATCCCTGTTCAGAAAAGAAGCCCTTTCTTTCGGGAGCTCCTTGGTTCAGGACCCACTCTTTATCATTTGAATTTTTGCAGCATCTCATTGAATTCATTACTGTTGCATCCTGCAAGACATTTATCTTTGTAATGAAGTGTAAAATCCCATCAGTCAAAGACAACTAGAAAGGTGCTTATTGGGAAAGTTGTGGAAAGCACACATCATGAGAGATCATGAGGCATCTCAGAAAGAGTTTGGGGAAGGCTTTTTCTTCTAGGATTTGGGGTTGTGCTCATTTTTGGAGGACTTCAGAAAGCAAGAGTTGGGACAATGTCAGCAAGATGGTGGAACAGAAAACCCTCAGCCCTCCTTGCTCCACAGAGACAGAATTAACAGCAGCAACCAGAGCAGATGCCTTTGTGAGAATTGCAGATTATAAAGCAGACCACACTGAGGCCCGGTAGGGAAATTGTGACATCGAAGTCCTTCCTTCCAGCTCAGTCGGTGCAGTGTGACTGGGAGCAAATTCTCGCTCGTGTCCCCCTGGAATGGGAAGGCGCACACATCCAGTGCGCTAACTTAGAGGACTGCCCAACACACTGCCTGCTGTCTCCCCCAAATCCAATGCTATCAGGAACTGGAAAGCTCTGGAAACAAACGTCGGGAACACGCGTAGGAGGTGCAGTGCTGAGGACCCCGATGAAGCTCCAGGAGCAAGGTTCGTGCAGCAGGAGAGAGGCTCAGGTGTCTGCAACACACCACGGGAGTTCCGGAGTAGAGACTGGCCACCCCTTTCAACTACATCAGGTCTCCGGCTTGTGAGGATGCAACTTCTGACTTTATATCCATGATGGTAGAAAAGCGATCACACAGCAAGTGAAAACCGTGCTTCGCATTTTGAATCAGGATTTTTCCCGATAATGCAGAAGGCGACTGTCCTTATGATGGGCAGCAGCAGGTGCAGCGGCGCTGACGCAGCTGCGTAATCGTGAGGCTGAGCCGCGGTCTGTGAGCGGTAGGCGAGGCTGGCACGTTCGGCAGCTGGTGTGTTACATGCAGTTTTGACTCATGCGCTGTCTTGGACTTCTGAGGGTGTATTAGGGTATAACTTCATCGTAAGCTGAAGACCCCTCTACCAGCACACTTGCAGAGAAACCTACCCCGGGAAGGTGGGAGTCATAAAATGATTTTATTTTATTTATTTATTTATTTATTTTTTACACCAACTGCTTTTTATTATCGAGTTTCAGACAATTTTCACAAGATGGTTAAAAAAAAAACAACTTTACAACCATTGCTAATGTAATTTTTCAATTGTTCCCACTCAGCTCCAAACCCATTGTGTGCAAAGCCCATTTTTCCATGCATCTAAATGATAGATACAGGCTATGAGATTCTTTATTCTATTTGTAGCAGCTTATGCAGGTGCAGCCAAACACAAAGCTTCAGGGTAAATTGTACAAACTTTACAATGTGGGGTCTGAATTTAAAATAAACATAAAATCTGCATGAAACTGATAAAAACCAAGCACAGATACCAGGACTGAAACTTAGAACCCAGATGTGAAAGGGAGTCTTGTTTCCTTTCGAGTGCTTTATTCTGCTACAGAAAGGTCAAAATGAAGATATAAAGCTTTGTGGTTAGTTTAAATTATACACTCTGTAAGATACTATACCAATTTTAAAAGTTACACAGAGACCAACAGATGTCCATCAGTTCATCTGGATCGATCACACTCCAGCTGGATTGCTGAGAACAAATCAGGCAAACATGGAAAGAAAATCCACCGGTGCAATTTGCCTGCAGAGTTTACTGGTGGGCACACTGCACCCCAGGCCCGTGATGGCTGCTGCTCTCTTTATCAGAGCTATCATTATAGGCTTCCCGCCTCTGACCACCTCCAGAGCCTCGAGTGCTGTCAAACTCTTGAAGCTCTACCTCCTCGGTTTCTCCAATTATGTTAGGAACCTCTGGTCTAGATGGCAGAAGATCTTCTAACTCAGAAAGCTTATCTGGGTTGATCCAGTTGTTTTCAGGAAACTGCACATCAAACTTTATGTACAGATCACCTTTTTCAAAAGGATTACGATACTGAGGCATTCCTTCACCTCGGACTACACGAACACATCCTGGTTCGATTACTTTGCCAGGAGGGTATTTCAGCACAATCTGACGGCCATCAAGCTGCTTAAATGTGAACTGAAATCCACACAGAGCTTCAACAAGTCCTATCTTGTAAGTCATGTGCAAATCATTCCCATCTCTCTGGAACACCTCATGTTCTTTCTCCTGCAGCAAAAGAACAATGTCTCCTGGCTCCACTCCTGGGGCCTGGTCTGCCTCCCCAGTGAATGTAATTCTCTGTCCATGTTTCATGCCTTTGTCTACATGAACTTCAAGAATCTTGGCTTCTTTAATCACCTTCTTCCCTTCACATTTTTTACAGCGGTCCTTTTCATTAATTACCTCTCCTTCTCCATTACAGTCAGAGCACACAGCCTGCATCTGTTGCACCATTCCTGGAGCCAGTTGTCTGATCATGACGCGAGCCCCTCGACCTCGGCAAGCACTACATTTCTGGACAGCTCCAGATTTTCCACCTTGACCACTGCATGCACTACAGAGTACATTCTTGCTAACTTGTAGTTTGTTGTTTTGCCATTATACAGAGCTTCTAAGGATACTTTGAGTGGATGCATCATGTCTTCGCCTCTTCTCCTGCCGTTTCGACTTCTACTCTGATTGCCCATAAAGCCAAATAATCCTCCACCAAAAATGTGAGAGAAAATATCATCCATGCCGCCACCTCCACCGCTACCTTCCCGAAGACCTTGTTCTCCATATCTGTCACATAACTCGCGCTTCTCTGGATTTGGCAATACTTCATATGCAAAACTTATTTCTTTAAATTTGTCTCCAGCATTTGGATTCTTATCAGGATGATACTCCTTGGCTAACTTTCTGTATGCCTTCTTCAGCTCGTTCTCGCTGGCGCCGGGCGGGACACCCAGGATGTCGTACAGCTTCACCGTGGCGGCCTGCGAGGCAGCGCTCGGAGAGGATGGTGGCGGTGCATTGCGAGCTGAGCCGGGCCACGAGCGGCGGTGGCGCAGGCCTAGGGGAGACAGCCCACAAAATGATTTTAAAAGAACAAATTAAACCTCTACACATTGCCTCCCTCAAATAGTAATACATTAAATTCATAAAGAGTTAACATATTATCACTGCATATATGGCCTGGGAAGTGAAACAGAGCCCGGATGGACAGCTGGACAGAATCAGGAGAAGGCACATGCATGAGTTGAGCCCATCGGCAAAGAGGAACTGTGCGCACAAACCCAGCACATTCTCCACCTGGAGAATACCATAAGTTCCCCGGCAGGACTGAACTGCAGACTTGATTAGGCAGAAGAAAACACCAGTGAGCCTGAAGATAAGACTCGAAATTACTGAGGAAGAAGAGGAGCAAGGAAAAAAATGAAGAAAAATGTTGTGATACTATCGAGCAAAACCACACGTGCATTCTGGACGTTCCAGAAGGCAGAATGAAAATGGGGCAAATGGCCTATCTGAAAAATTCCCAGATAAAATCTCCCCAAATCTGGGGAGAAGAGTGAACATAGGAATCCAAGGAGCTCAAAGAACTGCAATTAAGGTAGATTTAAAGTAACCTACTGTGTGAAATATCAGATTTTTGAACCTCACAAAGAGAATCCTGAAAACAGAAAAGCAACTCATCACAAACTTCTATTAGATTATCAATATATTTCTCAGCAGAAATCTTGCAGGTTAAAAAAGGGTAGAATACTGTATTAGAAGACAGAAAAAAAAAAAACAAGACCTTCCAACAAGGAATTGTGTGCCTAGTAAAATTGTCATTTGGGAATGAAGAAAAATTTAAAACTTTCCCAGATAAAAGCTGAGGAAATTTATCACTACTTGCTTAGGAGTTGAAACAAAAGGATATAAACAATTACACAAAACCACGCAATAAAATAAAACTTCCCTTGTATAAGTAAATGTACATATATACATGTATATGTGTCCTGTAGTATTATAACGAGGTATGTAAATAACTTTTAAGTATGATGTAGAATCTTTTCTAGAAGCGTAAAAGTAATGGTAACACCCATTTCACCAGGGTGAATAACCTAGATAAAACCTCTGCATGCAGTCAACTGCAGTTTTGCCCAGCAAGGACCAGAAGTTTTATACATGACCGCATTTTATCAGTTTATGGCTTCCAGGTGCTTTAATATAATTTTAATGGTAACTACAAAGTATATGTGCAAAGGAAAAAAAATAATCACACAAAGAAAAATCCAGGACCAGATGGCTTCACAGGAGAATTCTTTGAAGAAGAATTAGAGCCTCACATGACGGTGCACATTCATAATCCCAGCACTCTGGGAGGCTGAATCAGGAGGATCACAAGTTCAAGCCCAATCCAGGCAACACTGAGAGACTCCGTCTCAGTGCAAAGGCCCTGGGTACAATCCCTGTACTGGAGGGGAAAAAGAATAACTCCAGTGTTCATCAAATGCTGAAAGAGATAACACTCCTAAGCTCCGTCAGTGAGGCAAACGTTATTCTCATAAAGAAATCAAACACATTAAAAAGTGGGGGGTGAGAATTTAGCTCAGTAAAGTAAGCACCTGACTGGCAAGTGCAAGGTCATGAGTTCAACCCCCCCAAAATAAAACCCCCCCCCCAAAAAAAAAAAACCCCTGCAAACCAGATGAATGCTAACACAGAATCTTAAAGACAATACCTTAGTAAACCAAAATCAACAGTATATTCAAAGTGAAATTTTTGCCTTTTTGAGACAGTCTTACCATGCAGCTCAGGCTGGTCTTGAACTTTCAATAATATTCCTGCCTCAGCCTCCTGAGTGCTAGGATTACAGGTATGCACTACCACGCCTGATTCCAAGTGAGATTTATATTCAGTATACAACTGGAGTACAACATACAGCTCAGGAGAATAATGCGTTAACAAAATGAAAAACTAACATCACCACCATCTCCACTGATCAGAAAAAGCACTTAACAAAACTCAACCACACCCTTTCATAAAGAAAACTCCTACAAACCAAGAATAGAAGGAAAGTGGTTCAGCATGATAAAAATGTCTTGGCTGACATTATATTCGATGGTGAAAGACAGATTTTCTCTCAAATCAGAGGTGAAGCAAGCAACCCTGTTCCTACCCCTGCTAGTCACCACGGTACTGAAGTTCCAGCCAGAGCAAGTAAACAGAGAGAAATACATGGTATCCGAGTTGAAAAAGAATTAAAAGTTTCTGTTTACAGGTATCATGATCTTATTTCTAGAAAACCCTAACAATCCAACAAACTTTTAACCAATAAATAATTTTAGTAAAGTTGCGGGTCATGAAATCAATACACAAAGTCAGTTGGTTTTCTGTAGGTAAGCAATGATCAATACAAAATTGAAATTAAGAAAACAATCATTAATATAGTCTCAAAAGTACAAAATGCTTAGGAATAAATTTAACCAAGGAAGTGAAATATTTGTACATAGAAAACTTCAAAACTTCGCGTAAAAAAACAAGATAAATGGAAAAACATACAAAAACACACCATACTCATAGATTGAAAAACGTCAGTGTTAAAATATCCACACTACTCAGTGTTATTTTTAGATTTAGCGTAATCCTCATCAAAAGTGGAGGGAGAAAAAGGGAGCATAAAAAGAACCAAGATTTGTTATTCACACATGCATTATGTACTGTGAACATACTAATAAAAATAAAGATTAAAAAATCAAAATCCTAATGGGAAGTATTTCAGAAACAGAAAAATACTATCCAAATCTCAAGGGACGTTGACTAGTCAAAAGAATTTGATAAAAAAAGAACAACTCTATAGTTCCTATCTGAAAACATACTATAATGGAACTGTTCAGAAAGTGTGGACTGAAAACAGATATATAAACCGATGCGAGATAGTAGTCCATTAATAAACTTTGCCCACACGGCCAAGTGATCTCCAACAAGGGTGCCAAGGCCACAGAACAGGGAAAAGACAGTCTTCTACAACTGATATTAGGGAAATGGATAGTCACATGCAAAAAATTAACTCGAAATAGTTAAAGACCTAAGTGTAGTATTTAAGAACACTAAGTGCTTAGAATAAAATATTGAGAGAAAGCTTCATTATACTGAATATGACACGAAGAGTGAAATAGATAGGTACACCTGAATGATCAAATGTAAAATCTTTGGGACATTAAAGGTAAAAAAGGGACACTACACAACCTGAGCAATAATTGGAGATCACGCTTAGTAAAGGGATTAATGTCCAAAATATATAAAGAACGTCTATAACTGGACAGCAGCAAAAACAACAATTTAAAATTAACAAGACTTGCCTGGACATTTATTTCCCCAAAGAAGATTTAAGGAAATCCTTGCGAGTTTTTGAAAAGGTAAACAAAATTAAATTTACCTAAATGGTGCTGTGCTAATCAGATATTTTGAAGTCACCCAGAGGACAGGATTCTGATGAGATCCTGCCAACCCCAGAATTATTCCAACGCCAGAATTCCTGGCCTCCTTAGATATGTTTCCTCCGAAACATAACCCAGTAACATTACAGGCAACGTATAGACAACATAAATGCTACATTAAACACCAGAAGCCAGATTTCAGTAATAAACAATCTTGTTAGATTATGAAAGTTCATAAACTAAGAGAGAAAGCTAATGAGTGATGTGCTCAGTAAAATAACCGAAGCTCAGATTTAGTGTGAAACTTGCCCTATCACGGTGGCCTCATGCAGGCTGAGATTCAAAGGGTTTCAAAGGTATTTACTATTTCAATGTAGGGTAGACAAGACTTTTCTAGAATTTAAGGATTGGGATTTTATGGCTACTGGGCTCTCAGCTAACTCCAGGGGCCCAGGAATTCAAAGTCCACTAGGGAAATATTTGAAGTCAAAGATTCGATGCAGGACCTGGGTAAACTCACTTTTAAAAATACAATGCACTGGGGCTGGGGATTTAGCTCAGCGGCATAAGCACCTGCTTGCAAGCAGGCAGTAGTGAGTTCGATCCCTCGTACTGCTAAAAAAAAAAAAAAAAAAAAAAGCTAGAAAATACAGTACACTGAAGACCTGTGATAGAAACTCTTTTATTAATGTATATTAAATTTCAAAAATACTTACTAAAATAAAAGAATTAGTGGAACAAATGGGAAACAATAGTAAGGTAGTGTATTTAAAACAAAAAATACTAGTAATCATAGTATAAATAAAATGTGCACTCCAATTAAAACAAAAATTGGCAGACTAGGTTTTTAAGAAACTGAGTACTGGTGATGAGATACATGTTTTGAAATATTAATCTACAGAAAGAATGAAAAAATGGGAAAAGTTACTTTTAAGCTATGCAAAATGTAGCAAAACTCTGTTACTAATAGCAAACTATATTTTAAGGCCAAAAAATCACAGGAGATAAAGAAGATACTTCATAACATTATAAATTTCAATTCACTGGAGAGACATAAAAACTCTAATATTTTCTGCACGTAATAACAGCATTGCAACATCAAGCAAATTTTTAAGTTTCAGGAAAGGACAAGATCTACAATTTCAGGTGAGATTTTAACATAATTCTCTAAAAAGATGATAGAAGAAAGCTACAAAATATTCTTGTTACCTTCTATTTCTTGTTCCCTGAAAGGTGTTTTCTTTTGCTTTGTGAATGAATTTTACTTATTGCTTTTAATGCATCTGCTAACATATAATTTTCCTTTTAATTCTGTGAATATAGTGATTTATATTGATTTTTAAATATTAAAGCATCCTTGGACTCCACACAAACCTTATTAGCTTGGCTTTACTTTGCTAGTATTTAGGATTATTTCATTTAGGTTTGTGAGAGAGAATAACCTTTAATTTTCTTTTTTCAAAACAGCCTTATCAAATCTGATCAGATTTATGGTATAATTTTCAGTGTACTAGCAAAATGAGAGGCTTTTGACAGTACCCTTTTCCGGAGTGAACTCAGGCTTTGTTGTAGGGATCTGACTGCATTACTCTCACCAGGGCACTGGTGAGGCACAGCTGGCTTATAGATTTATCGAGGCTCCTTCTGCCAGGGGTTCACCCTGTTTCCCTGTAACCCTCCCGTAGTGCCCAGCAGAGCTCAAATGCATCCTTTGGGCCCCTCTATCTGGGGAATCTGAATCCAATCTTTGTCTGCTTAGCTGATCATCTGCAGAAAAACTTTCTGCTTTTCAAATATTTTTCATCTAGGTTTTTAGCTTCAAAATTTGGAAATGTTAGCCTGAGTTAGAAAATCTTTTTTTTCGTATATGAGAATACTTAATAAATAAATAAAAACATTAATAATTGAAATAAGAGAGAGCAAGGACAGGAAGCTGAGAGGTAGCTTTCCGGAGCTGGGTGAGCTGGACTCTCAGCAGGAGGTGGCGGGGTGGGGAGGGCATTGATGCTGATGGAGGTATGTTAAGTAGCTTCCACGTCCTCACGGAACAGTAAGATGCACTTGAAAAAAAGAACATTACAAAAATAAAAACACCTCTAGAAAATGTCTTGAAAAATCAGATGCATGGATGATGTTTTGGAAATCTTCAGTTTTTGCTGTATCCTTGAAAAATGCTTCAAACTCTACTGGTTTCTCTGCTTTTAGGCAAGACCAGGACTCTCAGGTTTTGGTCCAAGGTCATAATCAGGAATTTTCACAGGGATAAATTAGCTGTAGATTATTAGCTCTTCCAAATCCTCTCCTCAGAATCACCTATCTTCTACTCATTTTTAGTTACAGATAATCTCATGCCTTTAAAAAAACAACAGTTTTATTCGACTGCTCTAGTTCTCAGCTGAGCACTCATTTAAGAAGAGAAGCTACTCTTCTTAAATCAAAGTTTTTATTGCAACTATCCTGTCCCCAGTGCATCACTGTATATAAGTGTGCTCTCTTTTGTGTGTAGGTGTGTGTGTGTGTGTGTTTGTGTATGGGGCGAGGGAGGGAGAGAGGACACAGATAAATGGTTTATTCTTTTGTTTATTTCTCCTTGACCAAAGAACAATCATTGTTTTCATTATAATGAGAAACTTCTGTACCTAAAATAGATAACCAGATCCTAAAGTTCGATCTTGATACCGAGATCGGATGTAACTTGGGAATTCTTGGATGGTTGTGGCCATATATTGTATTTCAGACGAATAGGAATAAGAATCTACCCAGAGGGCAGACTGTGTGGTACACTGCATTATTGTTTCTAGGATTTCACTTGTACTGTGTTTCTCTGTTTTGTCGTGAGAATTCTCTATTGTGTGATTATTTGAAGATGTGGTTTATCTGGCCACTAAAGCAGAAATAATGGTATTTGAAGCTCAGAACTGAGAAACATTGTATCTTTAATTTCTTTTGTGGTTTTGATGTAGACCCCATCACACTCACACACAGACACACAGACACCCAGACACCCCTCTCCCTGGGCTAGCTGCTGGATTCTAGAGGAAGATGAGAAATATATGAATAACAGATGTCTTAGCCAAGGTGCTCCGTCAAACTCAGTGTAGACCAGCTGAGAATAAGTGCTTATTAAATTCCACTGACTTTTTACTTGTTTGTAATGTAGCAATAAGGGAACTTCTTAAGCCACCTCTAACTCAGCTGCTGAAGTTTAGGGCTTAGCACATACACCAGGTTTAGAGCTAACTCAAGCTACGTAAGCTAAGTTTAGAGATCTAAAAATAAATGTGGCAAAAATGATGAGTTCACATAAGCACCTGCCGTAGCAAGCACAAGGTCCTGAGATCGATTCCTGCTAACAACAGCAACAAAAAAGACAACAGTTAAGAAGGACAGGCAGTTCGGCAGAATGGAACACAACAGGCTAAAAGTTCCTCCCTATATCTGGGATTGTGGGCTGCATTTTGAGGCATTCAAAGATGCTGAGTAACTGGTTTTCTACTGAACTGCATTAGAAAACCTGAGTCTCAATTGGTCATTTTAAACCCTGAGGGTCACCTGTGATACGAAGCCACTGGACACCGAAAAATTTCCCACACTCTGCTTATCCATAAAAGACTCCAAACAAGAGCTCACCCGATGACCCACTTAGAACCCCTCCCAACCCCAGAGGTTTCTGATTCTCGCTCTCTTACCTGCTTCTTTGTCCATGATTTCATTCTTTGACTTTGTGAGACACCATCCCAGTTTGGTGTTAACATCGTTGCCCAAAGGAAAGTCTCATTGTCCTCAGGAAAGGGCCATTGGAAAGAGCGTCACCATCCATCATAGCAGACGTAACTTCTGCTCCACACACATCCTGCATGTGGTGTTCCAATCTCGGGTGCTGAGACTGTGGACCCTTCCCATGGTTTACCGTCAAACTCCACAAAGCCTCTATGACCTGTCCTACATGTCACTGATTGGTTTTACTTGACCTACAGCAATGGTCTCTTCTGTGATAAAACAATTCATTTTTTTACCATTATTTTAATTCTTCCAGAGGAAGCTTTTGTTACTCTCTCCTCACTGGGCAGAGGCTCTCTGAGTTCTCCATGAACGTGCAGTGTCTTGTATGATGCTTTGACCTCCATAGAGATTCAATTGCATCTCTTACATAAATGTATCTAATTTCATCAATTGTTGAATTCTATTGAATATAAGTAGGAAGTATTATAGATCATTAATTCCTTTGTGGTGTATTTGATATATATGATAAACTTGCAATTTGAATAACTACAGTCCTTTCTTCTCCACACTTGTCAAATAATAGTTTTTGTAATAGTAAGGTAAATTTATGCACACGGAAAAATGACAATAATGTTTGAACCTAATTGACACGTCCTTGATGTAGATATTGTGAGTCCCATTCAAGTAAAATTTGACAACCACCTCGCTTAAAATTAAAATGTCAGAAATCAATTATACTTCATTTTGCATTCAGACAAATTGAACTTTTCAAAATTTATTTGAAGTACATCTTGTGTCAAAAGACACCTACTCTATTATTTGAATAGTAGTGAAATGAGAAAACATTTTATCTCTCATTTTAAAAATGAGAATCACACTAAATTTTTATCTGTCAAGTGAAACTGAAGACAGTTTGGATGTCTAAATATTGCCATAGTTATTGAATTCTCCTTAAATAACAAAGTGATTCACTTTGATGAAGAGTGAGGTTGTCTGAATGTAGTAAGTAGTAAGTAGTAGGTGACTGTTGGAACAGGGGCCACACAAAGGAGTCTCTGCAGAGAGGACTGGTGACATTGGAGGGGCAGAGAAGGAGGGCTTTGTATGGCATGGGTGACGTTTACAGAATGGGGAGCACGGGTGTCCTACCTTCCTGGATAGGAAATATGCAAGGCTCTTAAAAAGACTCTTTAAAGATCCACCATCTTCAGCTTTATTAGGTAAATGTAGCTGATGTTCATTTTGTATATCAGGTCTGGATTTTTAAGTTAAGAAGAGAAATAACATTCTGAGTGCAGGAGGAGATTATTGGGGTGAGTCTGTAGGACATCACCTATCTGGAAGTTTGTTGAGGTTTCTGCCAGAATCAGTGGTAGGTAATATTTCAAGGCATTACCCCGAACTGGGCATTGCCCACAGAAGGCTCCATCTCAGCTGTGCTTCAGGACAGAGGTTCCATCGAAGAAAGCTCACATTTGAATCCTTGTCTTCATTTTTAATCACTCCGTGAACAGAACTCAACTCCCTTGTGCTAAATAAAGGGGTCATATTGAAGAGCGCACTCACCAAGCAGGAAAGGCAGGTATAGAAATGAAACAGGAATGGACTAAAGCCGGGAATGGATATGGGTGCACAGCGGGGAGACAGGGAGGAGCATCAGCTGCAGCCTGCATGGACAGAGCACTATCCACAAAGGATTCCTGGAGGTTGTAGGTTAGTGGACTGAGAATTAAATATTAGCAGAGATAGGCCTCTGGGGAGGGGAAAATTGCTACCCAGACAGAGGCTAGAAATCCTGAGCAAGATTTGTCAGGGCCAAGGGGCAGTGTGGTCGGGGCTGAGCTGGGTCATATCCCCAGTAACTCTGAGGGCAGGTCAGGCCACTAGCCTTCTCTTCTGAGAACAGAGATGGACTGGTGGTGGGTTTTAAGTAGCTTCGTGACATATCAAATTTAGAAAGATGATTCCGACCACACTGAGGAGTACAGATTTGAGACAATTAAACCAAGGGAAGCAATGCATTTAGGAGACTGTTCGGCAGGGCAGGTGAGAAAACAGGGAGGGCCACAACCATGAAAGGACTACAGTGGAATTTTAGAGGGTGAAGGAAGCAGATCTGGATGAAAAATAACAATTCATTGTCATGCATCTAGAAGCTACTGGTTAAAGATTAGATGGGTTATTGACCTGAGGAGGCTCTTTCATAGTTAGTAATTGTACATCTAGTCTGATTTTCAGAATTTTAAGCATTAAAGGCAGATATAGGAAGATAAGAGAGTCTCCAACATCTATTATGCATTTTCTGTCCCACAGCTATAAATTATCACTTATTTTTGAGCAATGACTCATCTTTTTATTTTGGAGATGGATTCTAACATGGCCAAAGGGGTTTGTTTTTCTTCTACTGGAAGATACTTCCTTTACAATTTCAATTTAATTCTATTTTTATAAGCAATATAAGTTTCTAATTATCTTTGCTAGGTTTTGTATAGGGAATATGTTAGATTTTCAACAAAAATATCTCAAATTATATTTGTCAAGTCTGGCATATTAGTTAGATGAAAAGAATGTTACAGTTATATTTTTTACCATATGTGTTTATCATACTGCTTATAAATTTATTTTATAATCAAGATGAACAGTGTAATTCGAAGCATAATATTCTCATTTCAAATGATCACAGGGACTCTCAATTTCTTCTGTTTTTATTATACATAAATTGGCCCTATCAGTCACAGGAACGACTTCTTTGGTGCTGGGTCATCAACTCCCTATTATAAAATTATTCCTATGAAAAGATATTGACTCAAATAACACAGGCATGGAACACACGGCAGCAAAAACACGCATTCGATTCTCTGGGAGTTTGTGTGCTGTGTAGTCTGCACTCTTTTCCATTTGTTTCTTGACGGCTGTGTTTTGATCCTCAGAGTTGACATATTTCTGTATTTTTCCTCTATCTGAAAGCAACTGATGCATTAAAAACCAAAGAAACTGCTAAGAATGAGGATCTGAGCAACCAAAAAATAACTACATATCTTACTACGAAGTAGAATACATCAAGTCGAAATAGTCTATTGTCATTTTACATTATTGGTGAGTTGGCTAGAAACACATTTACATTTTGTTCTAACTGGTGTATGCTGTCAGTTAAATATCTAAAGGATTATATGTTCAGGCCATTTGGGCAAAAACATTAAAAAAATGCATGACAGCAACACAACAATAAGAAATATCTAGCATCAAATCTATGCTCATTTTCTGTTTCTGCATGGCCAACTGCCAAAAGCTTAGCGCCTCCTCCAACTCCTGTTTATTACCGTATGGTTCCTCTAGCATAAGCATTTCAGGTGCTCACCCAAGTGCTTTGCTCACTGTCTCACGGAGCTACGATCCAGGTGACTGTTGGTCAGGGCTGTGTTCCCTTCAGGGGACTCGACTGGGGAGAATTCATTTCCAAGATGGCTCCAGTGGTTGATAGGATTCTTCTTTCTGTGCACGCGTGACCAAAGCACTGACTTTCTTTTGTCAGCTGGTGGCTTCCTGAAGGTTCTAGCCAAGTGGGATTCCCTAACAAAGAGGAGAGTTTCTTCTTTCAGGTGAATTAGACACCCCTCCCCTCGACTAATCTCCATTTTAATGAGTCAAAACCCACTGACTTAGGACATTTATTGCAGCAAAATTCCTTCACCTCAGCTGCATGGACTCGACTTAGAGTAAGTGACCCAAACTCAAGGGAGAGTGAACCCCTGGGAGCAGGACTCCCAGGAGGCAGCTTAAGTAGGGTCTACTCCCCACAGAGCTCTGTGTCACAATGTACTTCTAGTATTTTGTTTTCCAATATGTTAGTAATTTATTAGAAATTTATATTTTTCCTTTTGGTGTGAGAAAAATGAATGGTTGATCATGGCTAGACCCATTAGTGGTACTCAAGAAGCAATGGCATGGGCTTTTTGTTTGGATCCCTCCCTACCTTTGAGGCAGATCCATGTGCCAGACACTTTGGACCACTTGGTGCTCCTAGAATAGATCAGCTTTGGGGACGTGGTCATTGTGATTTACCTTTCCCAAATGGTTATGCCTGGAGACTACTGCCCATTCTTAGTCATCTTGCAAAACCTTGCTAAAATGACACATTCTATCCTGAAGGTCTGCTGACTTCCTCAGGCAGAGATACCCATTATGTGTTCTGTTGTCAGAATAATAAGTCATTTTTATAACGCCTTATTCCTAGAGTTGTAGTTGTAGCTAGGTGTTCATAGATTTTTTTTTTCCTATGCTTCCTGTGTGTCTGTACCAAAACTTGCTCTCTTTTGTATCTCCTGTGCTGTATTTCCAGGGTAAGACTTGGTACAAAGTAGGAAGTCAATAAATAAATTAAATCTAAATGAATGCATGAAAATGAGGGTAAACTGGAGTGACAACAAAATATATATGACAAATAGAGTAAGAAACAAGGCAAAGAATAATGTCAGCAGAGTGGCATGATGGAACATTCTACTCTAAATACTTGGTTTAATCAAGAACAAAATGGGGAGCGTGAAAGAGACTCACTTTGGATAAGACTGGTGTCATGGTTTATGTCTGTGTCCCCCAGGCCTCATGAGTTTGCACTGTGCATTTGTTATTTGTTCATTATCTAAGTGCTTGGATTGATGGTGTTAGTGCTACACCCACAAAGGGGTGGAGCCAGGATGTGATGTAATGGCAGGAAGAAGGTGTGTCTTGCTCTTTGCTGGTTCCTGCTTGCTGTTTGCAGCTGCCATGCACTGCCGCCCAGCCATGCCTGCCTGCCTTGGAGCCAACTGAGTGTGGACTGAAACCTCCAAAAACTGTAAGAAATAAACCTTTCCTTTCCCAACTTGGGCATCAGGTATTTTGTCTCAGCGACGAGCATAAAGTAACTAAGACAACTGGAAAAGTCATATTGCGGAGAGCCTTGAAGTTTTGAGGTTTCAACAGATGGATCTCATGAAGATTTG